GAGTCGTCTGGTCCATGAGACATACGTAAATAATACCGTTTCTATCAAATGTTAAAAGAGTAATAATCACGATTACCGACCCCGCGAAAAATACCTTCTACTATATTTTAAATAAGTTTTCAATCATATTTCCATGATGTTTCTATCATCGTTATCATTATCTCGGAAAACTGTCGGTCATTTCTCCCAAAACCGCAATTGATTCATTAGCGCAACGTACTTGATTCGATAATATTATCGGCTCAAGTATAATAATTAAATTCGCAGGGAATAGCACTCGTGGGGTTGTTGCGACTATTTTCCAACAACTGTAGTTGTTTTTTTTTTTTTTTTTTTTTTTTTTTTTCCATACGGTTTTCAATAATATGATGATAATTAACACGTCACCTGTCTCGTATATTTTTTCAATAAATTATTATTACAAGTCACTGTGTGTGGTTCTATGGAATAATTAATAATATAAAAAGAGCTAACATTGTCGATACCGGTGCATTGGTGTGCCAGTGTTGTCAACGTGATTTATATCGTTATGTATAAAAACCAGTGTTAGAGAAAAAATATTCTGATCCAAGTTGGGTCAGTTGCGTTATTCGAAATGCTATCATGTTTATGTTTCTCGTAAAAATATGGTCTTAAAACGCTTTATAAAAAATACATTACTACATTACGCTTAACTTTTTTTTTTTTTTTTTTGCTTTTATCACTATAGTAAACTTTTATTTGGCCAAAACAAATTCATCCGTATACAAATAAATAAAAACTAAAAAACTAGAAAATGACCACTAAAAATAAATATGTCGGCCTTCTTTTTTCTGTGAATAATTTTTCTGCTAGCAATGGTTTATCGTATACATTCAATTACCTATAACAATGGCTGCACTCGTCTCCGTTATCCTGGAACGTCTTTTTTTTCATTTTATTATCAAAAAAAAATAATAATTCTTATCTAATGTGTTGTGTTGTTTATCGTACATCTATTTTTATAATTGTAAACGTCCATTTTTAACAAGTAGAAGAATTCCCTTATCTGCTATAAATAATATGAAATAATTAATACTCAGGTGATTGAGTTGATACTACACGATACTAATCATTTTTACCCCACTGTGTCTTCCCCACTGCATGCGGATATTAATTTTGGACATGTTAAAAATGCGTCTTACGGCGCACGGCGATCTGTACGGCGGATCTCGCTATATTAGACTATTATTATTACTAATTATTATGAATTTATATATTTCAAAGGGCGCCGAATCAAATTTCCGTGAAGGTTTTTAATTAACCATCAAATTTAGGAATATTTCATTCAACCGAGGTAGGTAAGTAAATTCGATATAAAACGTCCATTTAATAACATCTGTATATTGTATACTTAAATATTTGTCAGTTATTAATTCCTACAAAAAAATGATAATATTGTAATGTATAATACGCGTTGAAAAATAAATAGAAATAATACCACGTAGAATAATATAGACAAAATAAAAATACAATATGATGACTAATAACGTGTATTTCGTAAGATAGTGCGGAAATTACAAATTGAAAATAATATAGATTTAACGCAGTATAAATTCAAAGAGTATAATATCTTGTAAAATCAAAATCTTCGGCGTTTCCGCCAATTTCCTCAAACATTTCGCAAACGGATCTGAAAAGCTCGAAACTTAATATACATAGGAAAAAACGTAAGATTTCCAGATTCAAAACTGAATAATTTGCACGTACACATTTTAAAAGCTGACACAAGGAACTTATCTTGTTCTGTAGAATGTAAAATATGTTTTTAAATAAAAAAAAAAAATCAAATTTATCTACACCACATACCTCTTTAAACCAAATTTCTGTATGGTAATGGAATCGTTATTAATGCAGTTTTATATACGTATTGTATTTATATTTATTATACTGGGTAATTAGGTTTGTGATGGGAAACATATAAACTTTACCCAATAATAATCATGAAATTATCTCTAGTGTTACACTTATAATTATCAATAATTCTACGGCGTAAATCTTATTTGACATAATTTTAAATTTGACTTTTAGGCGTGTTAAATTACGATTCAGACCACTGTGCGTCGGTTTTATTTTTGACGATTTATGGGTTACCCAATTGGGTTACCTCGACTACAGAGGGGCGAAGACACAAGGACCAATAAACCACCAATCATACCACGCTCAGAACAGACTTTTGATTAAAATCAATGATCGTTGATCTCGGTATATGCATTTAATGATTGTATCGCCTTTATCCTCAATCTTTCCACCGAATTTCACCGCATTGACCAACTCGCTATGGGTCCTGCTTTTTACAATTTAATTTTACACAGCAGCACGTATACAGAACAAATAAAATAATTATTATTACTTGGGTTTTGAAAAATGAGAGAGAAAAAACTTATACTTTATACTATTATCTATTATAAGTACAGGCATTGTGTATGCCGCAGCGTTGTATAATGCACGATGTTGAATCACTATAGATATGACTAAATGAGAATAATGTCACGTACATATCGATTATTTTGCGCGATATAATGTAATGTACCTATACATTGATGCGATATAGACGAGTACAGTGAGTAGTGAGTAGTACCTCTTTATTCGTCTTCAACCGTACGTCCGTACGTAAATAAAATTATTATTTTGGCATTATAATATAAATATTTTTAAACCATAATTTTATTTCTAATTAAATATTGTTTTTCGGTAAATGTTAATATACCTATTATTAAATAAAATTCACTTGTAAAGTTTTCATAATATATTAAAATATTAAATATATGTTATCGAAAATATATACTTCTGAGGTGGGCCCAAGGCCCCCACATTCCTAAATCCAGCCCTGTATACACAACACAATTTTACGTCTGTATCAATATTCACGAGGCCGCTTAAATTGATATCAAATTTTTCACTTTACAATTGTAAACAGAAAAAAAGAACGCCGTAATGCATATTACGGCCTTATTAACTAATACATATATTTTTTATATTTTTCCGTTTTTTTTTCGATTTTTCAAATTTGATGAGAAAACTCCTAAGAAAATCAAAAAAAATAAGAAACGGCTCTTAAATACCTCCCTAGTGAAATTTCCTTTTAAAACATAGCTATCATTAAAAGTATTTAAAAGTACTTATTTTTGGTAGAAACGTTGTTCACAGAAAACGGAAAAAAAAAATCTTTGTAAAACTATAAGGTTCTTCGCTCCACTCAGAATTTAAAAGAGCAAATGTAGTATTTTTGTCAATATTTCAAGTCTCTAAGAGGATTTCTAACTTAATTTCACAAAAAAAAAAAAGATTAAAATTAAAAATTATAAAATAATTTTTTTCGTAAATGATCCCGTTCTTTCTACGTATTTTTTGGTTTCAATTTAAAAAAAAAATGATACAGAAAAAATCAAAAAAAAAATTACTTTCTTACAAACTAGATTAAAAATGCAACAAAAGAAGGTCTCTGTTTGTTTTTCTATCGGAGCATTTTTTTAAGGTAGAAAACATAACGATGAAAACAATGCAAATCTCCTTAATGCACCAAATAAACAATTTTAAAATCAATTTCGCCAATATCCTCGAGCATTATGTAACGATTATTATTATTAATCGTATAGTATCGCCTCCTGTAGATAGGCCGCCTGTCTGAATAAGTCACGTCTGTTTCGGGCAAAATCCTTACGAATATGTCGGATAATAGTAATAATATATACGCAAGTTTCTGCCGGCAAAACTTTTGAAACCGAAATTATCGCCCGCGGGCGAATAACTTTCCTAATCCCCGCGGGAACGCGGCTGACGGTACAATAATTTATTTATTCGGAAATTTAAAAAAGAAAACTCCGGAGGTCACGGCGTGGTGTCCGTTCTGGTCACGATCATTATTCGTTCTGAAAACCATTTCTATGAGCAACTCATGTGCATGTTATATTATATAGATAATATGCGAACTTTTTCGAAAGTTAAACTCTTTAACGTGATTGTTTAACAAACATTTTCGGATTAAAATAATACAACGATCGGTGAAATTTTGGTTCAATAATCACGTTAGAAAACATAAAATGAGCCGCTAATTTTGATATTATAAAAATTACGAATGAAGAGTGATCAGAAGTCGTCTTTGATATAATAGACCCGTGAAACTGGTTCATCCGCATTTGACGATGTTAATAAATAGAGTTCGGAAGTTATATAAAGTAAATTTGGCGAAATATGCATTCATAATTCATTATGAATTATTAAAATTTTAATTTTTAGGAGATTTTTTGCTTTAATTGGATTATAATAAATACATATAGAGACTTGAAACTTGGTAATAATACTTACATTGATATCACCTAGGTGGTCAAATTTTCAAAATTATCGGACAACATTTTTATTTTAATAAGTGCTTCGAAAAATGTCTACACTTGAAATTATGTATTATCGACTAGGCTCGGAATCTAGACTATCACAATATATCTTTATAAAGTAATTAAAGTAGGAAGAAATATTAACTTGCAAAAGCATTCATTATGCAGAGGCTAAACTACTTCAACACATTCGTAATATTATTAAGTGTTATCAATAGCAAATTATTCTGTAGTTTAAATTAAGTTGTATCCATCATTAAATACTATATAAAATCAAAGTTATTTTGTTAAAAACTAAAACAAACTATGTTATCAAGTTTGGCGTTTTCCGATTTTGAAAACATTCTAATCCAAAATGCTCAAGGTTATCGGAGGCTCATAGTCCATAGAAGGGGGTGGAGTGGTTTGTAGACTGAAAATGCTTCATTCGCCTCTTTGGACAATTATATATTTTACATGTATCGGTTATTCATTTTTCAAATTTGTCTACTATATTACTATGTATAAGCCCACGAAAAACAGCCTAATTATTATAAATGTAATACAATCTAATACAATAAATTTAATTATAAATTATAATAATATATAATATTATAATTTTCTTTGAAAACATGTATTTTTTTGCGTGTCAAAAGATTACTTTAGACACTATATTTTAAATTCCGGTACAACGGTAATAGCATGTTCCGGAATATCTTCCGGTAACATGATCGTAAAACATTTCAAATACATCAGCTGATCGTTATTTAATTTTGGCTTCTTCGGTGTTTTAGGACGTTTTTGTCGCGGAACTGACCGCCTATAGGGTAGCAGCTTTTGTTTCCTGACGTCGATTCGAGTCAACTCTTTCATTTTATCTACCGCGCGTTGTGCAGCTTTTATTTTATTGCGCTCCAACATTTTTAATCTGTCCAACTTTTCATCGTTTCTCTCGATTATTTTCATTATAATTTCTGTTTCTTTAAAACGATCTTTTGGAATTTTTTCACATTCGGCAATCGCTTCGTTCAGTTTAGTGATTAGTAATTCAATTCCAGTATGCGTATCTCTAATGCCATGTTCCTTGAAGAAAGACGACAATATTGTCTTTATATTTTCTATGTGCCTAGTTAAGATGTCATTGTTTGAATTAAGTTTGATGTGTTTAGAATGTGTTTGTTCAAAACAAGAAATAGGCGCTGTGGTCGTGATACCGCTCTTGTGTTTATTCACCGATTTATCGGTAGTATTTTTTTTTTTGGTATGTGTGTTATTTATTATCTCCGATACTACCCTTTGATTATTAATTCTAGTTTCAAGAGAATTAATTTTTTTAATAACATGCTCCGCGGACTTCCAATACATTTTGTGTACTGGCTCCAATTGCATGTCTTTGGACAGTTCTTCAAATGACTTATGATAGTTAATGTTTGAAAAACTGTCGCGTCCTTCGTCTGTATCAGCGTCTAGATGCCTAATATCGTATTCCAATTTGTCATTGTTAACGTTGAACTTTTTTTTCCATTCCATCGGGCTCAACCATGTCAAAAGTTTGTAACAAGCCTCATATATTGGAAATTCTTTATACAACTTGTCATGTCTTCTCTTTTCTAAATCATAGTAATCGTACACGTGTTCTTCCAATACCCTGTTTGCCACTTTTATTTTAGATGTTATGGTATTTAAATTTTCTTCGATATTTTTGAGTTGATCATTTTGGTCCCTATTCCACAGCGACCATGAATTTGTATGATGCTTAAAGCCTCGAGCTTCGTTTCGGTAAATTATTTTATGGCGTTTTACCGTGTGTTTAAGGTTTGACAGTTCCTGGAGAATTATCTGAGTTTCAAATCTTGTCTTTTGAATTTGTTTAATTTCGGATTCACAGCCATCCCCAAAACACCCAATCCTAGTATGTTTTAAATATTTCCGATTCAAATAATCAATAAAATCTTCTAGAGCTTTCTTATCGTTCGCCAACTTCTTTTTTTTAAATATTTTTTTTTCGGTTTTCGATGTTAAGTTTGTAAGATTTAATAAATCATTAAATGTTAAATTATGCTTGATGTCACTTAATTTATGTAATACATCAAATTTAATGTTAACTCTATTCTTGTCATACCCTTCTCCGGATGTCGGTTCCAAAGAAAGAATTAGTTGGTGCGCTTTAAATTTTAACTCTGCTATATCGGTAGTCATTTTACACGTAAATATTTTATATTTTATATTAAAAAGTTTGAAATTGAGTTTATTAAGCTCGATTCAACACTTGCCAGTGACCATGACAAATGAAATATTATAATAACTAATTTGTCATGCCCGTGACAACTTCGTATCCAAATTAAATAATATCAACAGTTTTTTTTTTTTTATCGATTTCGCCACTGTACACACACATAACTCAAAAAATAAATGTTTCGAATTATATGACCAAAACATAATAATGTATGTATATATACGTATATCATGAATATAAATCAATAACTGTACAACACCTAATTAAATACTCGCAAACGTCATTTGACCTACCTGCATCAAGCCATTACAGTGATTGATATAAACGGAATAATCTGCACTATCGAATAATATTTGATCTGTATTCGTTCGGATTTAAACGCGCGTGATTCGCCGACAGGTTGATCGTGTAATGATAATTGTCATGTATCACATTATCGTTATACAAACACGTACATAACATTCGAAATGCGCCGACTCCTTCAAGCAACTCAAAACTCCAAATATATTTTTTTTCGACGGTGAAATGTCACCACGAGTCAAACACATTAATAATGTCAAGTATAATAACATACAAGACTTATTAAAATAATAAGTCCTAAGCTCTGCGTACGACTGAGAAAATATTACGTAACCTGATTTTTATGATTGTTACCCACTTCGGGTAGTTAACGCCGATTTATATTCTGTAATTTATTGCACTCAATGCCGTTTTTGCGTCTCTTTTTTAAACGACAAGGCGTAAAAAATCGTGACATCATTGCGCAAAGCTACTGGAACAATTTGCTCAAGATCTGTTTAACGGAACCATCACCGGCCCCCCGTAGAAGACTAATTCACTAAACAAGGAAAAGAAAAAGAAAAACTCGTACCTAATTTCGGGTTTCTAAGAAAATACAGCTCTGGCTTAGATTGTGAATTCGAAACTAGGAGCGGAAAAATCACGGCATATGTACTGAAAGAGGCCCAAGTGAGAAGTCGAGATTCGCATCTGGAACAAAAGTTTAAACTCTCTCACCTTCTTATATTTCATTACCGATAATATTTAGATACATTCCCGAGTACCAAAAAGCGTATTCTAATACCTCGGGCCGTCATAGTGTTGATGGCGTTTAAAAACGAAGCAGTGGGAAATACCCGAATCAATTCAATCCGACGTAAACGATTGAATAGTCGGTTCGACGTTTCTCGTCCTTATCGTCTCGCCTACCGTTCTTTGACCAAGAGTGCGGTAAGCGGTAAGTTCGTCCGTCGTGCGGCACGTAGTCATCTATTACACAACGCGCGTTCCGTAACACTCCAGGCGGCGCACATTCGTTTATTTGTTCGTATAATTATTATCTACGAGCGTTTACGTATTCAATAATTTCGTTTTCACATTATTTCATTTTATTGTTAATTGTTAATTATTTTGTTGTTGCGAGAGTTTCAACGTTGAATTTCGACGAAAACCGTAAATATTACGACGGCCTATAAAAAAAACGTGTACAACCGAACTCCGCTCGTCGGCTTTGCCGCCAGCTGCAACGGCGGTTTACGCGTTGCCCACAGACCGCTAAGTAAAATTACTTTGTGTATCCTATCTTCCCGACTCCGCGACCACAGCGGCGCGCCCGTTTGTTGTTTTGTTTTTCTGTTTTCGGAAAATCTCGATACGTTATGTTGTCGTAATATCATGCCGCGATGTTCGGACAGCGACAATATTACATTGCGCCATATCGGACATTTTTTTTTTTTTTTTTCTTTCAAATATCTGTTTTGAATCAAAAACGCGATTCCCATAACTATTACTACGATTTGTTTATTTTTTTTTTTTTTTCAGGCCGTTACTGTGGCACTTTTTAAGCATAAGTTTTTTTGCGCGCGTTTTTCCTATTTCCTAGAAAATCGAAATGAAAAAGAAAACCATTCGTTTTTTGTTTCGTTATTATCGTTATCTAGATTACCGGGGAAAAAGCGATTGGAAATCTAGTACTCGGACGACGATTACTGTTACACACGTTATTGTTATTCATTTACCTATACACTCGAGAAATTCTCGAGTAATCTCCGGACGACCGTCATGCGAATACCAATATTACTCATCATATCCTCTCGCTATCGTTTTTTTTTTTTTTTAATTTTTTTCTTCCGACCGCTTTTTGATTATTGTCCGTGGACGTGATGCTGTTATTATTGTAATTACATTATCCGCACGAGAACACGGTCAAATGTAATTAATTGTTCGCAATATGTTCTATTTGTTTAACATACCCACGCGAGTGTGTTTTAAACACCGCGGTAGGTACGGACAGCATATTATTGTATTGCGATAATCATCCACGTATCGTCGATATTAATTTTTTTTCCGCGGCTCTCTATTATTGCCGATAGGTAGTTTATGACGTACACACGTTAATTGTACAGTCGTCTAGGTAACGATAACTTAAAGACTGACATTTTGACGAAATTTCGATGGTTTTAGTTGCGGAACGTTGCGAGGGATAATTTAGTTTTACAACAATTATGTTTATTGTTATTATTTTTTTTTTTTTTTTTATCATTGTACAACTTTTCTACCAGAAATCTTACTCAGATTTTCAAGTATATTATCTTTTTTGAAAGGAAATTTTATCCGGACGGTACGAGTAATAATTAGGAGATTTGCGTGCGTGTAATAAAAGAAACTTCGCTCCGAATCGTTTTTCATTAGCAACGGTTTATTGTTGCGCATAGATATAAATTAAATTCGCCTATATATCGTACTTTTCCGACTTCTCACCTACAACAGTGGTCCACCCATCATCGTGCGAAGTACATCCGTCTTTAATATTTTTTTTCCATTCTATTTGTAATTATTATTGAGATTATTTTAACCCATAATAGCTGTGTGTAAGTTAAAAATTGTTTTTATTTCGGCCGGGCGCGAAACCGGTCATTGTTGAATTTCCCCCCCCCCCCATCCCGATCACGAAGACTATTGAACTGTACTAAAACTGTGTCTGTTCTATATTCCGTTTGTATAAAACGACGTATTATAGACGTTATTGTCAAGCGAGTACTTGCATTTGTGTAAGAGTCCCGCTTCACTTACTGTCATAGACGTATTGGAGTGTTTAAAGTCGCGTTGGATTTCAGCATATTATGTCAATTATTTTGTTGCCGGAAAATGAGTCTTTTTTTTCTTTTTTTTTTTTAGCTTCAAACACTGTTATGGACAACAGCCTCCTCTAAATGAAGCCTGGAAGTTAAATTTTATATGCGTACGCTATATATATCACGGATGTGCCTTTTTGAGGTTTCTACTTTTAACCCCTTGCCCCTGCCATTTGTGTACTCAAATTTCATATTTTTCGAAAGCCGTAGTAGACCGTGTACTTAGTAAACTGTCCGTAGTAACTATGTTGTATTATTGTAAGTACCCGGTTTTTCGTGGCTCAATAAAGAGTATTTTTTTTTTTGACACGTGAAATAGGCGGATAAAAATTCTATTATGTATGACAACGCAAGGCCCTAAGCCGGGGGTTATGGTTCAGACCCTCCCCGCCCCGAAATCTTTTCTTAAAATAAATTTGAATGGTTCTGAAATCTGAAACGTGTGCATCGTGCGTGCGCCACTGCGATTACAAGACACGAGTAAACAAAAACGTACGTTTCATATTTATATCGTGTTGGATGAGAAAAAAACTGATTTTAATGTACTCGTAAAAAAAAAAAAAAAAAAAAACCAAATATATAGTTCACGCAATACATGCCTGCGGTATCTAATCATAATTATTTCGGTTATCGACGGCCCGCAGTAGAACGGTATATTGAATGCTGTTTACGCCACTGTCGGTAACCACGGAGCGCCCTCAATCATATTGTACACACGACCGAGGTGTGATGAATAAAAGTATTATAAATTACAATTGAAGTGGAAATATAAGACAACGGTATAGTTGCCGAAATTTAAAAAAAAAAAAATGCATATATCGCGTTTATAGTTCCGTATTTTATTGGGTTTGTAAACGTTTTGAAATTTACTTAACCATATTTACACTCCGAACCCCGAGAATCTTCGGCTGGCCCGGTCATAATTACCGTACGGCTCGCGAGGTATTATTATTATTTTTTTATTTTTTTTTTTTTCATGTTTTTTTTTTCAAGCCGACCGGTATTCGATAATTGCGTACGCGTTGTTCCTCGCGGTTTTTCGCGCGCGTCCGGCAATTCGTGTTCCGGGGCACTCGGGGTCCCCGGCCCGCGTTACGGCACGGCACGCGGTCTTCGCGAGATTTGTGCGCGCGGCCCTTGCCATCCCGTTGTCGTCGCTCGTCCGAATCCGTTCTTCTTTGTTCCGCCGGACGATGGCGTTTTTTCGTCGCGCGCAACGTCATCAATACCCACTGCGTGTACAAAACGACGTGCAAAATAACGATATTACATATATTTGTATTATATTTTTTTCGCCTCGGACAAACGTCCGAATAAAACACACACGCGTTACCGTCGCGTATGCCTGTGCGTGCCCGTGTAACCCAACACACGCGTACATGTACGCGTTGCCGCGATGTGTGAAAATATCGCAACGACGTCGCCGCCGCGCGCCGGTACGCCCGGTACCCGCACACCACGCGCGTAAACGGGTCCGCCGAGCGGGCAATTTACAGCCGATACACGCCTCATTATTGCGCGCGCGCGTTGCAGTTGTCAGTTTAAAAATTCGTTTGAAATTTATTCAGACGTTTCGGTGATATTATATTCTGTTCGCGTTATGCACGCCGCATAATGGCATTTTATGTACACACGCACACATATGCATTATAATAGTATCCCGTAATGGCTTGTGCATTGTCTGACACCGCGTGTTTTTTATTATTATTATTATTTTTTTTTTTTTTTTTTATTTTATTCGTGACGTGTTGCAGACTGACTGCTCACGAAATTCGATAAAAAAAAAAAAAAAAAAAAAAAAAAAAAAATA